GCATGAAACATGGAGGATTGATGCAGAGGTGCACCTGCTTTCGATGAATATTTTCTTCTGCGATGCAATAACCGGTGCCATGGAGCAAAAGTATTGAAAAACTGCGAATACGGTGACCGACAAAAACCAGATGCGTTCTGCTTACGCAAATTGTTAAAGGTGATGATTTTAAAACATTCTCACTAAAGTTATCTACTTAAGATTCACAACGACAACTGAGTGATCCTTCTTCGTAATTAACTAAAACCGCCATTGCCAAGTGTCGATGTTCTCCCGCGTCTAATACCATTTGTCTCCACAAGCTTTTAGTTCTGTGTTCTGACTCACTGTCTCATATGAACTGCGGTTTTTCGATACGGCGGTTATGTCCCATTGAATACCAATCGTCACTGCTGAAGTTCATCAGTCGCACGATTGGTTTGCCGTTTTCTAATTCTAGCTGTATACAGAGGATTAGATGCCATTTCTATTTGTGGCCATATTTTTTTCGATCTTGGTATGTGATTGGCTACTTTTCATGCATGCCTAGCGTTTTGGGCATAACATCGATTTGCCATTCACTCCGGCTGAATGGGGTCTCAGCGACTTGGCTCGCTCAGTGTTTTACTCGGTGTGTTCAGACACAGCATCTCTATTGCTCTATGCCACCAAGCAATACTTCATCTAAAGGAAACGACTAAAAATATGCAGAAAAATGTTGACAAACACGGGACTCTATGTATTTTTTAAAATAATACAATGAGAAGTCATCGGATTTCACATCGTATATGTTGCTTTTATGAGGAGGTCGATTTTAATGCTATGGTGTCGTCTTCCTTTCAGAGGATGACCGTCAATTGCATTCATACATGCTAGCTTTCGTCCAGTATATAGATGTAGTGAACGTTATGAAGTGTTATTCACCATGATATGATTTTCTTGACCGTAACTATATTACTGGAAAAGTTCCATATTTCAGCGCTTGCTATATGATTTTCTTGATTTTGTCCAGCCCGAGTCCGGATCAGCATGAACGATTCGTCGAAAGTGAAGGCCGCTACGGAGGAGCCCTCTAGGGCGCAAATAACGTTTTTGTCTGGACGTTGCGTTGTCTGCTATTCGTCATTCTTCTAGAAGATCAGTTGAAGCCGTCTTGGATAGCAGCTGACCACGCTCTGTCAAAATGACAGAAATTTTAAAAGTCTGCATTTTAAGCTATTGCATATATTACATCCAAAACGCTTACGAAGCTATGTCATAGTCAAAGATTAAGGATTTGATTACCTGCATTCTAGTGCTTAGCCGAAAGTATGTCTGCATTTGATCCTTTATACACACCTTGTGCTCCCACACACCATTTCTTTCAGTACGACGCCTTCCAGCGGTACGTACTTTACATAATTGCTAAGGACTAACTTCTCTGGCCAAATTTAGTATGAGCGCAAAGATAATGCAAAACCAATATGTTGGTAGGTAGTTGTACGGATCTGTTGCAGCGATATTGCAATGAAGGTAGAAAATTCTCACTACAGAATCTCGAATTCTTATGGTCTGCATCTGAAAATGCTTCAGTAGAAGCGTATGACAGTCTTCATGCGTTGCCAAAAATTGTTGGTTTCAAATGCAGTCTGAAGCGTTAGATTCGTACCTCGTTATAATCTGTAGCCAACAGTCATAATAATGATATACTGAATCTCTGTAGTCACTGCATGTAGGGGATCCTTTAACGCTGACGCTTCAGCGGCATGGGGTATAGTAGCAATGAGGTGGGCTTTGAACTCCGCAGGTGCTTAGTTTGAATCCGTTCAAACGACGATCTCTGTCTTAACCGCGAATACATTGACTGATGAATCAACTCTGTTGCTATGAAGCCAAGCGGAAAACAACTAGCAGGTGGGTGACTTGCAAACGACAGCGTGGCCCTCTGAAGTGCTCATATTAGAACGGATGAAATGTACGATCATGCTACCAGATTAGAGCCCTTTGCGGTTGCATTTCCCCTTGACCCAACTCGTAGCTGCGCTGTCTACCCAGTGTAATAAGCAGCACCATGTGTAACAGTGATTTTCTGTTTTCTTCCCTGGATTTGTTATGCTTTTTTTAATGTTTGCAATACAACTTGCCTACTGTCGACATCTGCTGCAAATTATGAGTAGAAGGCAGGGATTGCCGCACAATTTTAACTTGCCAATTTATATTGTATAATCCGCTGCTGCTCTTAAGCTCATTTATTGGTAACCTGATGGTGATGAATTTTGTCGATGAATACTAATAGACG